GAAAGAGAGTTGCTCCAAGACCACTGGACAGTGGATTGGAATCCAGCCCTTCACCCGGTCTATGTTAGAAATAATTATTATCATCATTCTTACCAATTTATTCTTACCCAATGGTCACCACAGACTACTCCACCTCTGTCATGCCCAGATCTAAATGACATGTTTACCATATTTACCCTGGGCCCTTCATCACAGACAGCTACTAACAGAGGATCAAAGCTCTGAAACTGTCAGGAGTTTTTCAAATAGCCAGACTGTCAATGCCAAATGTTTTCTTGGAAACTTCACATTTACAGAGGGTAAGTGCAGCAAGCTAACGTTCCAAGAGTATCCAAGAAAAGGGCTTAGGTATGTGTCAGATTTGTACCCTATGGTTAAATGATCCCTTCTCTTAAAGTGATACTGAATTGCAAGTGACCAAAGTTCATTTCCATAATACAATAAAAATGTGGGTTTAAAGTTGCAAATAAAAGTTGCTGAAGTTTCTCAGTATAATATGGGGATTCCTTTGGTATCTAAATGCGAATTGGACTTAGACTGAGGTTATTAAGAAGATTCTGTAATGGTCAGGCTGGGGAGGGAGGGATCCTCGCCCGAGTCAAAGGTAGAGGCGACGCCCAGGGCCATAGCTGAGAAGCATTTTCAAGGGTCTCAAACATCTCTGTAACTTCCCTTATTCTCTTAGGGAGCTCATCTATAGCCATAACTTCAGAAGCTGAAGAAGACCCCCGGGTCAACATTTGTCTCAGCTTTTATCTGTCCCACCTTCTCATATCTTCAACTACCTGGGGTATATAGTTCCTCCTTGATATGCTGTCTACCTTTGATATTTCAAACAAAATTCTTCAACTCCCTGATGAGTTATTTCCGAGTCTGACGAGCCGATATGTCCTTGGCGCCAATGTTCTCCCAGACCTTCTTTCTCATAAGTTCATGATCGTCAGTGACTCCCTTCCTTTCTCTTACCCCCTACAGAAGCTTTACTAGTTCTGCCTTCACAGCCTCTCACTTTCACTTTTTTTGTGCTCGCCCTTGTTTAGACCCAGATCACTACTTGCCTGCACTATTAAGAAGAGGTAACAGTCACTGGCTTCCCTGCCTGTAGCTCTTCCCGCTCCAATCCAGTCCACAGCCCATGGGAACAGACCAAGACCAACCGAGAATGATTGAATCCAGCTTGTTCAGTTCAAACTGAGGCCAAGAATAGGCACTAAGAAGCTTAAGCCAAAGTTTTTACAGGATTTCATCTCCCACGAATCATATGAAGGAGAAATTGGACTATTTCTGGGTCCAAGAAAATAGAATGTTAGCCATTGAGTGGACGGGGACAGGGAACAGATTTCAGCACCATGTCAGAAGAACCTTTCCCCAACCAGAGCTGCCGCATGATGGACTCCCCCTAGTAGTGTGTGACAGTGCGTGCTCTGTCCTTGGGTATGTTCACGCAGAGCCAGAAGAACACTTCTCAAGGGTGTTGCCGCAAGCTTACGTGCCTTAGGCCAGCTGACCACTAAGGTATCTTCAAACTAAGTTTTTACAACATAATCGCGGCCTTCTCCATCCCCCTCTCTGTCTCTCTCCTGCTGGGAGTCTGTTCCTGCTGTTTTGCAACTTCCAAATCTTCAGGGGATGAAACACTCTCCTCCAGAGGGAAGCTCCCCTGCCACCCTCTCCCACGGCCTTTCATTCTAAGTTTCTGCTGCCTCATGCCTTTCAGGAACCTGGACAGGTTATTGACTAGCTTTCACGTGCCCAGCATTTTTCCTTACTTGAGAGGTACACCCTTGAAAATGCTACAGGTTTGGATATAAATGATCCCTTTTCTTAAGATAATACTGAATTCTAGGTGACCAAAGTTCACTGGACAGTTCTGGGCCACAGATTGGGTGGGCTAGGGAAGGTGTTCCCAGGAAATCCTATGTATTGAAAAGTTACATCTGGCATTTTTATCCCAACAAGTATTAAACTGTGTGTGTTGCCCGTGAAAAGTATGAACACCGATGCTTAATATAGTTGCTAGAAACTAACAAAGAGAAATAAGGAAAATGGAATCTATTTTGTTATCAGAAGAATAAGAACAGTGTGGTGTTTGTCCTATGCCTAGTTACTGCATAATATATCGTATAATACAGTAACAAGTATTCATGTCATCAAGTGTATGTTAGGTTAACATTGCGTAAGTTATATTTACTTCTAATACTACTCTGTCCTAAAATGCCTAGCTTTCATGTTGTATGCCATCTATCCGCTTTTCTTCCACAAACCAAATAGTGATGTGCCACTAGGAAGAGGTTGTAAGTGGACTTAGGGTGACAGACATGGAGATGCCCAACACTGTGTGTTGCGTGTAACCAATGTGCATGCAGCATCTGTACCAGGGATGAAGCGAAAGGTTATGTCCCTGTTTTGTTTTATTCCCTCATATAAGTAACCCTTCAAATTTTTCAAAAACATGTACCCTCTGACACAGCAATTCTACTTTTATAGGATTTGATAGTTATACATAATTTAATCAATCACTCCCCTGTTGTTTATCACCCCATCTTTGTGGGCGGAAAATTAGAGATATTAAAAGGAACTGAACGTTGCTGAGTGCCTACTTTTTTCCAGGAACTTTTGGTTTGTTATCTCATTACTTCTCCATTCATTTTGAGTAGATATGGCATTCCTTTTTTTTGTTTTTTTTGTTTTTTTGAGTTGGAGTCTCACTCTGTCGCCCAGACTGGAGTGCAGTGGCCGCTCCTGGCCACCGCAGCCTCAACCTGCTGGGCTCTGGGCTCCGGCGATCCTTCCGCCTCAGCCTTCCGAGTAGCTGGAACTACAGAATAAGGAAACTGGGGTAACCCCTTCAGGTCTCCTCCCACTGTGGGAACTTTTCTGTTCTCTCAATAAATCCTGCTTTCTAAAAAAAGAAAGACTAAGGAAACTGAGGCCCATGGAGATGGAGTAACTTGCTCAAGATCATACAGAGAGGAAATGCTAGAGCTGAAATTGGAGCTCAGGTGTTTCTGGCTAAAACCCATTTTCTGGCTGGGCTCGGTGGCTCAGCCTATAATCCCAGCACTTTGGGAGGTCGAGGCGAGTGGATTGCCTGAACCCCCAGGTTCGAGACCAGCCTAGACAACTTGGCCAGACCTCATCGCTACAATAAGTTAAATATTAGCCAGGTGTGGTAGTGCGCACCTGTAGGTATGGCTACTTGGAAGGCTGAGACGGAAGGATTGCTGGAACCATCGCCAGAGCCCAGCAGGTCAACACCGGGGTGGCCGTGAGCGTACCACTGTGCTCCAACCTGGGCAACGGTGAGACTCCAACTCTAAATAAATAAATAAAACCCATATTCTTTCCAACATACCAAGGTTTAAGCACTGGATTCTGTGGAACTGTCTGGAGGAGGGAGGCCAAGGAGAAGGCTGAGCGGGTGGGCCTCATCCCACACCCTCACTTCAACCGGGGCACCTGCTTCACAGTCACACAAAAATGTTAAAATTAGCCATCCCAATGCATCTCATGTTGGTATAGGGATTTAGCATTAAAAATAATTTTCACATAGTTCTATAATATGTAGTGATGGATTTTCACATCGTTCTATAATATGTAGTGATGGATGGTGGTTCTTACAAATGAAATAATCTACCACTAGCCATCAGCCAGGCAGAACTTAGTGTACAGGAATCATAAGCATTTAGAAATTGATTCAATTCAGAACTTGCAAAGATGGGGGTCACCTAACCCTGGGCCAGTCTTAGCTTAGTCTTCAAAACAAGAGACTCACACAGGGGCTCCCCACAATGCTGGATGGGCCTGTTTGGGTCAAATGTTTACAATATGGTGTCAACACAACTTAATGTTTCACTTAAGCTACCTAACCAAAACCAGACCAAACCAAAAACCACTGAGTCCCAACTTGATGTCATTTTAGGAGAGGGTTCTTGGACTTTATATTGTTCGATCTTCTTTGTTTACTTGTTCATTCATTTATTCATTCATTTGTTCATGCCTTCTGGAGGCAGTAGAAGACCACAGGATATTTTGGTAGCAGGTTGACTCCAGGGTATTTTGCCCAGGGACGTGAGCTAGACACTGGAGACATTTGAGACCTGCTCACTGCCCTAAGTCAGATTTTTGCTTTGCTGCTTATTTTCTTATTTCAATACGTGGAATCTATCGTTTAATTAGAGATGAGGTCTCACCAAGTTGCCCAGGCGGGTCTCAAACCCACGGGCTCAGGCAATCCACTTACCTCAGTCTCCCAAAGGCGCGGGATTACAAGCTGAGCCACCAAGCCTGGCTTCATTTTATTTTTTTTATTTTTTGAGTTGGAGCCTCACTCGCCCAGACTGGAGTGCAGTGGCCGCTCCCGGCCACCGCAACCTCGACCTGCTGGGCTCCGGTGATCCTTCCGCCTCAGTCTTCCGAGTAGCTGGAACTACAGGCACACGCCACCACGCCTGGCTAGTTTTTTTGTTTTGTTTTGTTTTGTTTCATTGTAGAGATGAGGTCTCGCCTGCCCAGGCGGGTCTCAAACCCGCGGTCTCAGGCAATCCACTCACCTCAGCCTCCCAAAGGCGCGGGATGACAGGCTGAGCCACCGATCCCAGCTGGAATCTATCAAAATGTTTAACTACTCTTCCAAACTCTCACATACTTTCATTACTTTAAGGTGGGATTAGGAATGGGTGTTAAATTACTTTCCCAAGGGGGATAAATTTAAGCCTCTCCTCATTACCCAATTTGTATGATGGAATTCCTGTCAGTTCCCATGGAGTAAGCAGTGGGGTTTCGTGTGACGAGGGCTGAAAAGAACCCCAACATTAGCCCACAAATGGAGGTGGAAATGGAGAAGATATTTTTAAGAATATTATTTGGAGTACTCAGGGTCAAAGCCTTTCAGGCTATGAATTGGGCTCTCCTCTCAAGCAGCACAGACCTCTGGCTAAAGTGTATTTGCCGTCCTCTGTTTGAGATTTTATCTGATTCTTACTTTATTTTTATTCCAGTTGCTACATTGATGGCCGGGTAGTCAAGGCGATGGACTTCCTGAAAACTCGCCTGTTAGACACTCTCTCTGACCAGATTAGGAAAATCCAGAAAGTGAGTAAAAGTTTCCTGGGACGAAAAGGAGCAGGCGTGGGGATACGGCCAGGAGAAGGTCCGGGGTCCCGACCGGACCTCAGCACTGCGGGAACCAGGGTAGAAAAACAGTGGAATGGCACAGTCCAGATGGGCATGGCCACAAGTGCCCTATCAACCGATGACTATCGTTTTTGTTTTTCAAACTGAGAAGGGTTTGTGTGTGCTGTACCACGTTTTTAAAGCATCACTATTTTAATAAGAAAGGTGTCTTCGTCGTTTGCTCTAAATTGTGAGTTTTGCAAGGGAAGAATAGGTTTACATTGTCATTGTCTATTTACAGGGGTTTATGCGGGGTTTATTTAAGAAGAGAGTGATTACATTCGTTCAGTGGAATTCTGGCCTGGGCATTGGCAGTTCTGAGCCATGTTTATACTATTCCTAAGTGTCTAAGATGTGGCCACGTAGGATCTTACTTTGTAAAGATGTGACGGAATCCGTGTTATGACAAGCAACTGCATGCAGGTCCCATCAGCAAGACACCTTTGGTCAACAGTTCTCAGCCTTGAGTACAGTCAAATCACGGGTGGCGCTCATTAATGTTCCCAGTCTCCCTGTTGATATTCCGATGGGTATGACTGGAATGGATCCCAGAGGTCTCTGTTTTTAATAACCATCTGTCAAATGATTCTACACAATGTTGATGGCCCTTGGAGATATGCTGGATTAGTTAGTTCGGAATCATGAAAGTTTGATGTCTACACTTTTCGTGCGCCGCTACAAAATAGCACATCTCTCATTGCCCAGTCAGTTTGTTTCCCAGGGAATGAGGACTCTTAAAATATTCAACATTTCTCGAGCAGATTAAACAAATCATTGCAGAAAAATTGCAACAGGTAGGCCCTTAATAAATATGGGATGGCTGGATAAATGAATGGTTTGTGTATAAAATGAACGAAGTCCTGTTTGAAACAGTCATGGAAAAGCACTTCTGAGAGCTAAAGTGGAAGTCTGTGCCTTTTTGTATTCAGACCGATGTCATGCTCAGACTACAAACGGCCTCTTGGGTCTTTGCTTTCAAGGGGTTGATTGGCTGAGAAGCCCGGGACTCTTGCCTCCCAGTATGACCCCTCCAGGAATCAGGCGTGTTGGTCAGGACTGGTATCTGTCACTGCCTTCCACAGAGCAAAGCCAGGAAAAGCCAGATAACCTGACATATTTTTACTACCCTGTCTGGTATTCATTTAGCAAAAAATATTTACCGAGTTCTTAGCAAGTACCAGGCAATATGTCAGATGCTGGGGATAAAAATGGAATAAGACATGGTCTCTGCCCTCAAGGAACTCACAGTTTTGTGTTTTAGTACTTGGAGCCGGTTGAAAACATATTACCTAATATGATCGAATGATAATATTGAACACTGCAATTTTCTGAGCACATTATGCTAACTGGATATTAGACATTGCTCTCCCAAAAGAGGGTAGAATTCTCTTTCGTTCATTCATTTGTTCATTCAGTTAATGTTTACTGAGTGCTTGCTATTTCCTAGGCACTGTTCTAAGTATAAATCAGGTCTCTATATCTTTTGGCTTTTCTGGTTTTGAATCTTATCAAGGTGTTATTGTTAGAAGTAAAATGGCTCAGTGGGGTCATGGCACTGAAAGTTAAGATTCTAACTGTGCTCTTGCTATTATTCAAGAATAGCAGGTGGCTCTAGGCCAGAACTAAGACAAAGGTGATGGAAGTTAGGTTCTTCCCTTTATCCCACTTCCCATTACCTGTCACCACTGTCGACTCCTTAGCTATCACAGAATGTTCGAAAACTGAAATAAGTGGCTAAGCTTACTTCCTAATTTATGCATGGTTCAAGAAACTAAAGAAAAAAGGCTATAAAGCCCTGTGCACAATTGAGAGTCAGACCTTTTAAAGGGGGAGGGGTGGGTGCTGTTTCGGGGAGGGACCCTGGAGCCCCCAAGAGAAATGACCTATATGCCCATGGCACCTGGCAGAAGAGGGTTAGACTTAGCAGCAGGGCCTGTAGACACCTTTGGATTACTGCAAACCTAACATGCCCAGGGGTCCCCTCAAGACAAGGTTCCTAGTCTCGTTATCTCCTGCTGTGCAACAAATTATCCCAAAAGCTAGTGGCATAAAACAAGCATTTCTTACACCAATGGCTTGTGTGAGTCAGGAATTCCCAAAAGCCACAGCAGGGATGGTTCGTCTCTGCTCCTTGACGTCTGAAGTCTCAGCTGGAAGACTGGAAACCCGGGATGACTCAAAGGCTGGTGTCTGGAATCATCAGAAGATGTGTTCATGCACACGTCCAGCCAGTGATGCCACGTGTCAGCTAGCACCGTAGTTGGGGCTGTTAGCTGGAATACTTACATCCAGGCTCTGGGTAGCCCGGGCTTTCTGCCAACTTTCTAAAGTCAGATGCCCAGGAAAGAGAGCCAGGTTGGAAGCTGTGTCACCTTGCCTAACCTCCCCTAGGAAGTCACAGGTCTTCCCTTCAACCATATCCTACTTATGGAACCACTCACCGAGACCCACAAGTTTTCCAGGAGAGAAGAAATAAACTCCTTCTCTTGATGGGGTAGGGGCAAGATTCTAAAAGAGCATGTAGAGCCAGAAATAGTTTCACAGTCATTTTTGGAAAATACTACCTGCCACAGTTTCATCCTCCCTGTTTCATGTAGTAGGACTTAAGTCATTCCCCTGGCTGACTTTCTTTTCCCAGTTTGCTTTCACAAAGCTCTTGCCAGTTATGACCCGAAGCTGGCATACGCTGGAGGTGCCACTGGATCAAGATTCTCTGAGATTCGACCCACCTGATGGACGTGAAAATGACTGCAGCGGCTGGACCCAGTGGTCAGGGCTTCTAGGAGAATCTCCCTCCCTAAAGCCCAGGAGATGTGGAGCCCTGGCCTGTCCTGGGCAGATGAAAACTGGAAGTTTGCTCCTCAAACTTTGATTGTTGAAAAGTTGCTTCGGCTGTTCCTAAAGTCCCCAGTGGTGGGAGGTTGGCAGGGGGAGTGGTTTGGGGAATAAAGTCCAAAGTGCATACTCACCCAGTGTCCTTCTCGCCAAGACAAGTCTAGAGATAGGTCAAGTCAAGTCTTAATGTCTCTACCTAGAGCCCTTGCCCAACACCTAGATGTGGAATCGTGGTCTCTTCTGTCAGTAGAAGTTAAGAGAAACCCTGATGATCCCCTTGGGCCTGCAATGGTAGCATAAGGACAGATTTCCCACCAAAATGGAGCCATGTGCGAGTGGCTTGATAAATCATCAGTGGTAACGCTATTTGAATAGTGGACAGGGGACAGGATTTGAAGTCTGATGGCCTGGGTTGGAGCCCAGGCTTAGCTGGGTGGCTTTGGGTCAGTTACTTGCTTTCTCTGATTTTGTTTCTTCATCTTTGAAATGGAGATGCCGAGGATACCCTCTACTTTCCTTCTTAGTTCTAATCTTCCTAAGGCCCTATTTTGTTCATTGTTATTCATTGCCAGTTCTTATGCTCTTATTGTTGTTGTTACAGTTATTATAGTTATTTTAAATAATTTATGTGACTAGAGAAGCTTCATGCTACCTTTGTCCTCAATTTGTTCTTTGCTTTTTTTCCTCTTTCCTCTTTCTTTTAACCCTGGGGAATATGATAGGTGATATTTTTGGCACCTGAAAGGCAGTGACTCAATTGCTAAAAACAGCTGTGGTTTGCAAGTTTGGACTGCCACTTAGAGTAAAATTCTCAGTTTTCTGAGCAGTGGGTGAGTTGCCTGGTCATATGAAAATCTGCATGATGCGTTTAAAGGCCAAACAAAGACATGTCCAGACAGTGTGTGGGCAACTCATCCCTTTGGATGATCTACATACTCTTTTTTTTTTTTTCATTGGAATGAGGACAATCATCTGTACTTGGGAGGTGAATCTGTGGGAAGAGCTGAGAGTCTAACGATTCAGGGAGAAGTGAGATGGAAAAGAGGTATTTAGGTGCAGTGCAGATGGTATGGTGTGGATAGCTGGGCTGACTCCAAGACAATGATGTAAGAACCAAGAAGAACCCTTTGGCTTAAGTCATTTGGACTCTATGATTTGTGTCTTCATCTCCTGGAGGAATCAGAGGAGGAAATAACACTTTTTGATATTATTTTCAACAATTCAATAAGCACAGGAAGGAGTTGGTGAAATTGCAGTCATAAGGGAAGTATTTCCAAAAGTACTGTCCATATGATCGCATTTTGAATGCTAAATAAACTGAACCACTGGCTTCCCAATATTTGAAAAGTTTCTTTCTTCCCCCCTTCCTTCTTTTAAAAATTACTTTAATTGATGCACAATAATTGTACATACTTGTGTGGTACAGAATGATATTTCCTCTGTACATATGTACAATATATAATGCTCAAATCAAGATAATTCGCACATCCATCAGCTCTAATATTTCTTTGTATTGGAAACATTCAAAATCCTCTCTTCTAGCTACTAGGAAATGGAAAATAACTTATGGTTAATTGTGGTCACCCAACAATTTTATGAACACCAGGACTTGTTCTTTTTATCTAGCTGTAATTTTGTATTATTAATCAGCCTCTTCCCATCTGACCCCCGCAACACTCCCAGCCTCTAGCAACCACTGTTCTACTCTTTAGTTGTACAAGATCAACTTCTTTAGCTTCCACTTATGAGTGAGGACTTATGTGGTATCTCTCTTCCTATGCCTTGCTTATTTCACTTAGCATAATGTCCTCCAGGATTTCATGCTTTTTCACGGCCAAATCGTAATCCATGTGCATATATACCACATTTTCTTATCCATTCATCTGTTGCTAGTCACTCAGGTTGATTCCATATCTTGGCTATTGTGAGTAGTGCTGCAATAAACATGGACGTTCAGATATCTCCTCGACACACTGATTTCATTTCTTTGGATAGATACCCAGTAGTGGGATTGTTGGATCAGAGGGTAGTTCTATTTCTGGCTTTTGAAGGAAGCTCCATACAGTTTTCCATAATGGCTGTCC